GGATGGGATCCTGGGTTGGATGAACCCATGGGCCGGTTCAAACCCGCCCCTGGGGTCCAATGGACCGGGCGGGGGGTAAAAAAAAACCGAGGGGGGGTGGTCCCAAGGGATGGATGAACCCATGGGCCGGTTCTAATCCGCCCTTGGGGTCAAATGAACCGGCTGGGGGGTAAAAGAAACCGAGGGGGGATGGGCTCTTGAATTGGATGAACCCATGGGCCGGTTCAAATCCGCCCTTGGGGTCGAATGAACCGGGTGGGGGGTCAAATAACCGAGGGGGGATGGGATCCTCCTGGGTTGGATGAACCCATGGGCCGGTTCAAATCCGCCCCTGGGGTCCAATGGACCGGCTGGGGGGTCAAATAACCGAGGGGGGATGGGATCTTGGGTTGGATGAGCCCATGGGCCGGTTCAAATCCGCCCTAGGGGTCCAATGGACCGGGTGGGGGGTAAAAAAACCGAGGGGGGATGGGCCCAAGGGTTGGATGAGCCCATGGGCCGGTTCAAATCCGCCCTTGGGGTCAAATGAACCGGCTGGGGGGGTCAGAATGGCCGAGCGGGGATGGGCTCTTGAATTGGATGAACCCATGGGCCGGTTCAAATCCGCCCTTGGGGTCGAATGAACCGGCTGGGGGGTCGAATTACAGAGGGGGAATGGGCTCTTGGGTCGGATGAAACCATGGGCCGGTTCAAATCCGCCCTTGGGGTCAAATGAACCGGCGGGGGGGTCAAATAACCGAGGGGGGATGGGATCCTGGGTTGGATGAACCCATGGGCCGGTTCAAACCCGCCCCTGGGGTCCAATGGACCGGGCGGGGGGTAAAAAAAAACCGAGGGGGGGTGGTCCCAAGGGATGGATGAACCCATGGGCCGGTTCTAATCCGCCCTTGGGGTCAAATGAACCGGCTGGGGGGTAAAAGAAACCGAGGGGGGATGGGCTCTTGAATTGGATGAACCCATGGGCCGGTTCAAATCCGCCCTTGGGGTCGAATGAACCGGGTGGGGGGTCAAATAACCGAGGGGGGATGGGATCCTCCTGGGTTGGATGAACCCATGGGCCGGTTCAAATCCGCCCCTGGGGTCCAATGGACCGGCTGGGGGGTCAAATAACCGAGGGGGGATGGGATCTTGGGTTGGATGAGCCCATGGGCCGGTTCAGATCCGCCCTAGGGGTCCAATGGACCGGGTGGGGGGTAAAAAAACCGAGGGGGGATGGGCCCAAGGGTTGGATGAGCCCATGGGCCGGTTCAAATCCGCCCTTGGGGTCAAATGAACCGGCTGGGGGGGTCAGAATGGCCGAGCGGGGATGGGCTCTTGAATTGGATGAACCCATGGGCCGGTTCAAATCCGCCCTTGGGATCAAATGACCCGGCTGGGGGGTCCCAAGGGTCAATCTTGGCATCCCATGAACGCATAAACAGGTTGCCCCAAACGATGGCAACCCAACGTAATCCATGCCATAGGCCTATTAATACCCCAGCAAAGGGGTATTTTTCCTCTCCCCATCATTCGGCCATGTGTTTTCGGATTGCCCCAAACGACGGTAACCCAACATAATCCAGGTCATAGGCCTAGGAATACCCTAGGGAAGTGGTATTTTTCCTCTCCCCATCATTTGGCCATATGTTTTCGGATTGCCCCAAACGACGGTAACCCAACGTAATCCAGGCCATAGGCCTAGGAATACCCTAGGGAAGTGGTATTTTTCCTCTCCCCATCATTCGGCCATGTGTTTTCGGATTGCCCCAAACGACGGTAACCCAACGTAATCCAGGTCATAGGCCTAGGAATACCCTAGGGAAGTGGCATTTTTCCTCTCCCCATCATTCGGCCATATTTTTTCGGATTGCCCCAAACGACGGTAACCCAACGTAATCCAGGTCATAGGCCTAGGAATACCCTAGGGAAGTGGTATTTTTCCTCTCCCCATCATTCGGCCATGTGTTTTCGGATTGCCCCAAACGACGGTAACCCAACGTAATCCAGGTCATAGGCCTAGGAATACCCTAGGGAAGTGGTATTTTTCCTCTCCCCATCATTCGGCCATGTGTTTTCGGATTGCCCCAAACGACGGTAACCCAACGTAATCCAGGTCATAGGCCTAGGAATACTCTAGGGATGGGGCATTCTACCACTCCCCATCACTTGGGTTTCGGTTCTTGATTGCCCCAAACAATCGTAACCCAACGCAATGCAGGCCATTGGCATAGGAATACCCTGCCTAGGCTTTGACCTTGATGGTTCGATCGATCCGGACCCGAATGGGTTCGATACGAATGGGGCCGGTGAATCCGGATCCGGATGGGTTCGATCCAAATGGGTTCGATCGACTCGGATCCGGATCGATTCCATCCGAATCGGTTCGATCGAACCGGATCCGGATGGGTTCGATCGATCCGGATCCGGATGGGTTCGATAAGGATGGGTTCGATCGACTCGGATCCGGATGGGTTCGATACGAATGGGTTCGATCGACTCGGATCCGGATTGGTTCGATCGACTCGGATCCGGATCGATTCCATCCGAATGGGTTCGATCGAACCGGATCCGGATGGGTTCGATCGATCCGCACCCGGGTGGGTTCGATCCAAATGGGTTCGACCGACTCGGATCCGGATCGATTCCATCCGAATCGGTTCGATCGAACCGGATCCGGATGGGTTCGATCCGGATCCGGATGGGTTCGATAAGGATGGGTTCGATCCGAATGGGTTCGATCGACTCGGATCCGGATGGGTTCGATCCGAATGGGTTCGATCGACTCGGATCCGGATTGGTTCGATCGACTCGGATCCGGATCGATTCCATCCGAATGGGTTCGATCGAACCGGATCCGGATGGGTTCGATCGATCCGGATCCGGATGGGTTCGATCGACTCGGATCCGGATGGGTTCGATCGGCTCGGATCCGGATGGGTTCGATCGATCCGGATCCGGATGGGCTTGGGTCCGAAAGGGTTCATTTGATCCGGATCCGGACGGATTCGATCGATCCGGACCCGGGTGGGTTCGATCCGAATGGGTTCGATCGACTCGGATCCGGATGGGCTCGATAGGGATGGGTTCTATCCGAATGGGTTCGATCGACTCGGATCCGGATGGGTTCGATCGATCCGGATCCGGATGGGTTCAATTGATCCGGATCCGGATGGGTTTGATCCACACGGGTTCGATCGATCCGGATCCGGATCGGCTCGATAAGGATGGGTTCGATCGACTCGGATCCGAATGGGTTCGATCGATCCAGATCCGGATCCGGATGGGTTCCATCCGAATGGGTTCGATCAAACCCATCCGGGGTCCGATCCGGATGGATTCCATCACTTGGGTTCCGGGGACTTGATTGCCCCAAACGACGGTAACCCAACGTAATCCAGGTCATTGGCCTAGGAATACAGGAGGGAAGGGGTGCTCTACCTCTCCCCAACCCTTGGCACGGGCCATCGGATTGCCCCAAACGACGGTAACCCAACGTAATCCAGGTCATTGGCCTAAGAATACGGGGGGGAAGGGGTGCTCTACCTCTCCCCAACCCTTGGCACAAGCCATCCGATTGCCCCAAACGACGGTAACCCAACGTAATCCAGGTCATTGGCCTAAGAATACGGGGGGGGGGAGGGGTGCTCCACCTCTCCCCAACCCTTGGCACGGGCCATCGGATTGCCCCAAACGACGGTAACCCAACGTAATCCAGGTCATTGGCCTAAGAATACGGGGGGGGGGAGGGGTGCTCCACCTCTCCCCAACCCTTGGCATGGGCCATCCGATTGCCCCAAACGACGGTAACCCAACGTAATCCAGGTCATTGGCCTAAGAATACGGGGGGGGGGGAGGGGTGCTCCACCTCTCCCCAACCCTTGGCATGGGCCATCCGATTGCCCCAAACGATGGTAACCCAACGTAATCGGGGTCATTGGCCTAAGAATACAGGAGGGGAGGGGTGCTCCACCTCTCCCCAACCCTTGGCTCGGGGCATCCGGTTGCCCCAAACGACGGTAAGCCAACGTAATCCAGGTCATTGGCCTAAGAATACGGGGGGGGGGAGGGGTGCTCCACCTCTCCCCAACCCTTGGCATGGGCCATCCGATTGCCCCAAACGATGGTAACCCAACGTAATCGGGGTCATTGGCCTAAGAATACAGGAGGGGAGGGGTGCTCCACCTCTCCCCAACCCTTGGCTCGGGGCATCCGGTTGCCCCAAACGACGGTAAGCCAACGTAATCCAGGTCATTGGCCTAAGAATGCCGGAGGGGAGGGGCTCCTTACCTCTCCCCAACCCCTGGCATGGTGGAACCGATTGCCCCAAACGACGGTAAGCCAACGTAATCGAGGTGGTTTTCCTAAGAATACTGCAGGGGAGGGGTGCTCTACCTCTCCCCGACCCCTGGCATGGGTCATACGGTTGCCTCAAATGACGGTAACCCAACGTAATCCGGGTCATTGGCCTAAGAACACCGGAGGGGAGGGGTGCTCTATCTTTCCCCAACCCTTGGCATGTGGGCATAGATTGCCCCAAACGACGGTAAGCCAACGTAATCCGGGTCACTGGCCTAAGAACAACGGAGGGGAGGAGTGCTCTACCTCTCCCCAACCCTTGCCACGGGGAAATCGATTGCCCCAAACGACGGTAAGCCAACGTAATCCAGGTCATTGGCCTAAGAATACTGGGCGGGAGGGGTGCTCCACCTCTCCCCAACCCCTGGCATCTGGGAATCGATTGCTCCAAACGACGGTAAGCCAGCGTAATCCGGGTGGTTGGCCTAAGAAAATCCGGGGGAAGGGGTGCTCCACCTCTCCCCGAACCTTTGCAAGGGTCACTCGGTTGCGCCAAACGACGGTAAGCCAACGTAATCCAGGTGGTTAGCCTAAGAAGGTTTGGGGGAAGTGGCTTTTCACCTCTTCTCACTAATCTTTGGGTAGGACGGTTGCTTGAAAAGTCGGTAAGCCAAGGTAATCCGAGGCCTTTCCGTAGTAATAATTCGGGGAGAGGAGAACTGGCC